AAGAATAAACAAAGAGCCGGAGCTCCGTTCAGCACGTCCAGGATAATTTTCCTTGTATGGCTTCATTTAATCTGACGTCTGTAAGCAGTCACATGAAGGTCGTTTCAGGGTCTGACAGGTTACAGTAAATTCATAGACGACAGTTTTTGTTGTTTCTCTGCGACGAAGTGAAGAACAAGCAAACATAAAAACAGAATTAAACGAAGGCTTAGACTCTGATTTAAGGTCCACAAAATGTTGCTGTGTTTTGGGATCGTGTATTAATGCCTACAGAAGAATGAAGTTGTTTCAAAATCGCAGCCAACAGGAAAAAAAGGAATGACGTTGCCTCATGAGATGAAGATTTGATCATTTCTCTTCCAGGAATGATGATCCACTGTCCTGAGAACTGATTGGGGAGGGCTAGTTCTCCGGTATAGGTTACCGTGGTGATGTACCCCAGTGAAACTGAACAATATAACTTCAAATGACTCAGGGCGAAATAACTGCTGGTGAGGTGAAGTGAGCAGAACTGCGATAACGTTCAGGTGAGTGACTGAAGAGACCAGAGCGAGTGCGAGTGTACCAATGTCTGCAAGCAGCCAGCAGCTTCAAAGTTATGTGTGACGAGTGGATCTCTTGCCATTGTATACGCAGCTTTAAAAGGGAATCATCGTCACATCCCTGAAAACCCCAGGGTTAAACCTTCAGTTACCCCGCTAAGCCTCAAAGCCTGCCTGGTAGCACAGGGAAAACAGGGGGCAGCACATCAGGGGAACAGCAACCAAATTTAAACATATCATAAGAATAAAAAACTGTCTGAAGCCAACTACGTCATATCTGAGTCTCCTGAAGCTGTCTGGATCCCACGTGAGAAAACATCTTAAAAGGTGAATTTTCTGAGCTCTAGTCTGTGATTAGTCTGTGGAGATGTTCGGTACCTTCTTCCTCTGCTGTCTCTCCTGCTCCTCCTGGATGTGCAGCAGCTCTCTCGCCTGCCTCTTCCTCTCAGCCTCCCTCTGAGCTCGCAGGAAGGCCTCCTCCCTCTGAAAAACACGCAGCCAATCACATTCTCGCCATTCTTCAGTTTACCGTGTGTAAACATGAGTTACCTGAAAACATACAAGAGTCGAACCGGAGACCCGCCCCCTTTGCTTCTCTAACACTGCCATGGCCGGTCTTACCTACAAGCTGTCGATCTGCACTGATATCATCTTTATAATTACTGTAACAATAAATCAGGGTTTAACCACTGCACCTGCAACCGAACAGGTTAGAGGTAGAGAATAAAGATATGGTACTACAGCTTGTGTGTCTGCTCTTTGCATAATTCACCAACTTCTTCTTTTAATACAGTTGTAATAGTTTTCATTCAGCTGGCATTCATAAATCAGAGATTGGGGCTTTTGTCTCCAAAGCTTTACTTGATTAAGTTTTTTTCTCAGTAGTTGGAGTTTGAAAGTTGAAATTTGGAGATAATAAACTCCAATTTTGACTTATTGATATAATAAAAAAGCTCTTTAAGTGGCAGAAACAGACTTCTGTACTTTACCATCTGGAAGAGGGACTATAAACAAACATAACAGAAAGAAGCATTTTATAATGAAATTATTATGGCATTAAATAAACTGCAGTAATAATAGAAAAAAAATTTATTCACATTTTTTAAATTATTTTATTTGTTTAATTATTTACTTTTTATTTTTGCACTTCTTTCATTTTTATTTATTTATTTAATCTTTTAATTTTTTTGTCTTATTTAATCTGGTTTCTAGTTGTATTTATTTATTTTTAATAGATTTTTGTTATTTCCATATTTCTTCTGACATTTTTTTCTGCTTCTGTGTCCGTATGGCATGAAGCTTTCACCTACATGTTAACATTCATTTATAATATTAAATCAAGACACACGTCACCCATAACTAAAAGAAACCTAAACACACTCAGAGACATAAATCCTTCTTTTACAGTAAACTGAGTCCTAACGTAAATGTATTGAGAAT